CGTCACGCCACCGGGTGCTGGCCTTGGTGACATAGGCATGCCATCTTCTGGTCGTGCTCGCTTGGATGGAATCACTTGATTTGGATTGTGGAAGCCTGGGGAAGCATTCCGCGGCACGCCATTGTTGAACATGCGCTGGAATTGGGATGGATCCTGGGGGGTCGGGGAGCCATGAAGGAAAGCAGTAGAGGGATCTATAGTGGATGGATGGAAGGCGCCATTATCCTGGCCAGGAATATTCGAGGCGTCGGCAAGCCAGGCATTCATGTCGAGCGTTTTTGCCAACCCATCTACCTAAGGCGAGTCAGCATGTGAACATTGGCTCATACACCATCGCTATAATATGTAACGATATCATGTAGGAATGAAGGAAGTATAGGATTTAGTTCAATGATGGGGCGATCAGGTGGACGCGTCGGGGATGAGATGTTTGGAGTCGCGCCCAGACCCGGTCGCGACACAGGTCAAAGAGAGAAGGTGGGAAGGGAAGGAACAACCATGGGAGGAATATTGGAGATAACATTTGGGAGGGGGAAAGGAGGGGAGGGAATGAGGTACATACCGATAAGGCTGGAGTGACTTAAATTCCGCTTTTTATACGGATGACTGAAGCCGGGTCCCGGAATTGGCAGATGGGGGATAATGAAGGGGACAGAGGTTGGCCAGGTGTGGTCACGTGGTGTTGAAACCTAAGGCAGAAAACCACGGGAGGCAAAGGGCGGGTTTAAAGATGGGATTTGGGTGGGAAGGGGGAATGGGGGAATGGGAAGGGAAGTAAGAAGGCTGGGGTAAACTAAAATGTTAGCAAATCATAGACAAGGAAGGTCAGTCTTGATGCTTTTTTCAAAAGAGCCAAGATATAATAATATGGGAAGTAAGTATTCCTCCAGCAAAACCACAAACGGTTACAGAAGGCACCAAGAAAAAAAAGAGAAGGGGGTGCGTGGTCACAACCAAATCATATCAATACATGTAAATAAAATGTATCATTGTAATATAATATGGGTAGAACGAAAATAAAAAAGACAAACGAAACAAATAAGAAACTGGCGTACTTACCAATTCACAAGATCCGTTCAGTTAGGGATGAAAGGGGAAGTGGAGAGAGGAGAGGGAAAATTACTGACAGGTCAGAGCTTTCGCAAGTAACCCTCCCCCCGGTTGTTACTTTGGTGTTTTTGTGTTACTATAAGTTAGTCTTTCTGTTCTTTTCAGTTTCCAAGTTATTTTGGTTATTTTTTCTTCGTTTTCCTCTTTCTTATTTTCTTTTTGGGTGTTCTCTTTTTCCTTTTTCCTTTTTCCTTTTTTTTTTTTTTTTTTTTTTTTGGCCCTTGTGTTAGTCTGGATTTCCCATTGGTTTTGTTATCTCGTTCAGAGTGGGTGTCGTCAGCCTCAACCTGCACACATATATATGAAAGAGCCTGGTCACATATCAGAGGAAAATGATGAGAGATGTTAGGGAACAGAAAGAGAATGAAGGAAAATCTCTTTCTGGGAGAAAATTCCCATAAAACCCCCATCTTCCCCTCGGATTTCGTAAATCATCTAAAACGATGATCCATTCCAACGGTCTGCCCGAGTCAGGTTAGATCATATAGCACTCCAACCCCGATATGGTCTGAGGGTTAGCAACCACCCAGTGATAAATTCCGAAGGGGAAAATTATCATGGAAAAAAATTAGAGTCTTTCTAGATCAAGATCTGGGGAAGGGGGAAAAGAAATAATGAAAAGAGAGAAAAAAAAAAAAAAAAAGATCTTGAGTCGTGACGGTGACCAGCGGGTGGTTCTCCTTATATAAAGCTCGCACTAGCGTCTGATAATCATGTCGATGCGCGCCCAATCCTCCGAAGTCACCAACAATTCGAGGTCAAGAACTAAGGAGTGGATTAACCTGGGTTTCCTAGTGAACACTGTGCAAGGATCCGACTCGATCCGCGTGGGAAATCATGACGGCTTTGGTGCCTGTCCCACCTACCGTGTCCCGGCCTACTCCACCGCTGCAAATGATTGGATCAACTTTTCTTCATTTCCCTTCTGTAAGGCTTTGGGGGCAAGCTTGAGGACATGGCTAACTCCAATGGCAAGGATGCTCGTAACTGTCTCAAAGGCCTTTGCGCATAGCGGTCCAATATGATATTCTCCTGGCTTGAACCTGATCAGGTGTCCAAACTGGCAACATGCTCCGTGCATCTACAGATCACTCGATGAAACAAACAACCCAGGCAAATGAGCTTGAGATCCTTATTATTGGCTCTAGGGCTACATATTCCGCGACAGCCACTAGCGTCCAACCATAGATTTGGATTGAGACACTCTCACCCAGACAAGATTAGTGTATATTTGGTGCCTGGGCAAGATATAGGGGAAATGATGACTAGAACTGTTGAGACTTTACAAGGCTCTGTGTAATTTATCTCACTGTTCTGGGTGAGATTATTGCATACAAATGTTTCAAATAGTTAACTTACGGGCGCTTGATTTGGTAGTATCACCGTATCGCCAATTGCCACAATCTTCTAACCTTGGAATGATGAAGTATTGGACACCACATACATACCATAATATATAGTAGATAATCAGCCGTGGGACACTGTAATGGAATCCTTTATGGCACTTGGACCAAAATCTATAAACGTTGGCAAGACTGGTTGGTATCACGTGATCGATAAGCTTCCCGGCCCATAGCATTGAAAGCTCCAGATGGCTGAACACCGAGCCCTTCACACAGCGCGTCATTCACCAACCATCTTCAAAGCACATCCCATTTCCCTTCCATTTCCAGCTGATAGATATACCTCCCTTTTTCATCTTGTTCGCTATCTAAAGTATCCACCATGGGAGACGTTGCCGTGGAGAACCCGGCGAACAACGTCACGCCTCTTACCAAGCCAGGTGCGCTCGACGCCCTCGCCAACTTGGATTCCCTCGATGGCACAGGGGCCGATGGAAACGATGAATATGCTACCCTCAAGAGGCTACAGAGACATCTCGAGTATGTCTAACCTTGTTTGTTGGATGGAGTGATTTGTACTGACGTCGAACACAGGTATATCCAACTCCAGGAGGAATACATCAAGGATGAGCAGAGGTATGCATATTGGACTATGTCATTGAGTGTTTGTATCAGTGGCTAACTACCGTCGTTCGATGCAGGAGCTTGAAGAGGGAACTGGTTCGGGCACAAGAAGAGATCAAGCGCATACAGAGTGTGCCATTGGTCATCGGACAGTTCATGGAGGCAATCGATCAAAAGTATGCCTTTCCATGTCTGGGCCCCTAGTCGAAATGGTCATCTTGCTAACTCATATCCATAGCACCGGCATTGTGCAAAGCTCGACCGGTTCTAATTACGTCGTCCGTATCCTCTCCACTCTCGACCGCGAGAAGCTGAAGCCCTCATCCTCGGTCGCCCTTCACCGTCACTCTAATGCCCTTGTCGATATTCTTCCTCCTGAGGCCGACTCCTCTATCGCGATGCTCGGCGAGAACGAGAAGCCCGATGTGACATACGCAGATGTCGGTGGCTTAGATATGCAGAAACAGGAGATTCGGGAGGCCGTCGAGCTGCCTTTGACGCATTTCGAACTCTACAAGCAAATCGGTGGGTAGTGGTGGAGATCCATTGCAGATAACAAGACCGCTAATGATTTGCAGGTATTGACCCTCCCCGTGGTGTCTTGCTCTATGGTCCCCCCGGAACCGGAAAGACCATGCTCGTGAAAGCCGTGGCCAACAGCACAACCGCCAGTTTCATTCGTGTCAACGGATCAGAGTTCGTACAGAAGTATCTAGGAGAGGGACCTCGTATGGTCCGTGACGTGTTCCGGATGGCTCGTGAGAACTCCCCAGCCATTATCTTCATTGACGAAATCGACGCAATCGCCACGAAGCGTTTCGATGCCCAAACTGGTGCCGATCGTGAAGTTCAGCGTATCTTGCTGGAATTGCTGAACCAGATGGACGGTTTCGAACAAACCAGCAACGTCAAGGTCATCATGGCCACCAACCGAGCCGACACCCTGGATCCGGCCTTGCTGCGTCCTGGTCGTCTGGACCGAAAGATCGAGTTCCCAAACCTGCGTGACCGACGTGAGCGCCGATTGATCTTCACAACCATTGCCTCGAGGATGTCACTGTCCCCCGAGGTTGATCTCGATGCCCTGATTGTGCGCAACGACCCCTTGTCTGGTGCTGTCATTGCTGCTGTCATGCAGGAGGCCGGTCTGCGGGCTGTCCGCAAGAACCGTTACAATATTATCCAATCAGACCTTGAAGATGCTTATGCCGTCCAGGTCAAGACTGGACAGGATGATGACCGGTATGTTTCTTGTTCTCTTTGGTGGTTTTTCTATATCACTAACTGGTTGCTTGCAGTCCTGACTTCTACCGGTAAATGCTTGGGTCTCTTGGGAACGTGGGTATGGGTGACGAAAGCTTGGTCTCCCTCACCAGTTGTATTATCAATAATATGCAGGCGCCATGTGTCACAATGTTTGGATTATGTGTTGATCCTATGATCTTCCGTTCATTCTTTTAGATTGTAGATGTAGATTGTAGATTGGCTGGCAGCACCCTGCCTATAACTATACCACTTGCTTGAACATGTGTGTTGAATTGATGTTCTTCTATATAGCTCTGTCTGTTTTCCTGTTATTATTCTACGGAATCACTGATGGGGTTTCAATGATATATTTTGTGGTATCGGTTGTTACATGCAGATGACGTTGGAAAAAGAATGTCACGATATATATTTATCTACAGTCACGGGCTATACCCGAAACAGCTTCCAATATTATGAGACTTAGACCACGACAAGCATAACTGTAGGTAAAGCCAAAGTACTTCAACGTCATACTCACACTCACATTACCCGATTGAGAACGGACCTGGCTGGAACTCATCTACCTTCTTCCTCATCACTTTCTCACTCTTCCTCGTCACTTTATCTCTCACTGTTTCAAAGTCCATCTACATCTCTGTTGTATCCCTATTCCTTAAAATGGCCGAAACCCCAACGAAGCTCAAAGAACTTCTGGTTGTGACCCCACACTCTCGACGTGTGACGCATAAACGAGCGTCGATACCTTCACCCGAACTGTCATCTCCTGACAACATATGCATCATGTCCCCCGATTCTGTGTTCTCTTCGGAGCAGGAAGTTGTCTGTCTGAGTGACTCGCCCTTGCTTGCACCGTCAAAGAATCTTTTCCCGCTAGGTGAGGCTACTATCAGTAAGTTTTCCCCAAGTTTACTCTTTGAGTTATATACTGATTGATTTATTTAGATATGAGGTCCCAGGTACCGGAGTCAGAGTCTCCAGTAATCCAGATTCCGCCGTCTCGTCATGTGGTCCTACCCTTCAACCTACGTGAAAAGCGAACTTTCCACCACGATTCTGATCAGCTTATGCAACTGTTTCCTGGCACGAAGAAAATTCTATTTGATGGCTATTTCTTGGTGTTTTTGCTCGACTCCCTACCCCCAAAGCCGTGGCCGCTGACCATTGCAGGTGTTCGACCATATTTCACAACGGACCCGAATGATGAGGGTCCAATGCCATCGATGAAACGAATGAGCAAATCGCGTCTTTTTATAGACGCTGAAATCGACATTACCCACCTTCCGCCTTCTCAAGTTGACAATGCATTTAGGCTCGTATTTGATTTCTTTACGAAAGCTCAAATCTCCATTACCCAAGTTCAGTACTGGGGCAATTTCTTCATGATTGTACTGGAGAATGAGGATACGGATCTTACTGCAGTTCCCCGCTCGATTGGCTGCTGTATCTGTTTTTATCTGTTTGATAATGAGGTACGACGACCGACACAGGACCAACTTCCAGCCCGCAGGCTTACAGAATCGACTGGCGATGTTGTCGATAATAGCAAGTATGATATCCTGCGTCCCGGCGTCATGTTGAGCTCTGGTATGCGTTCTCCTACCGAACACGAGTATCTTTCTACTTCTGGTGCACTTATTGAGGACTCTAACTCCGGCAAGCGGTATATCACTGTTGCTTCCCATGGGTTTCCATATGGCGACAAAGTTTTCCATCCGAGTGCTAACGGTGAAGAGATCGGTCAAATCATCATGAAGATCACACATACAGACGTCGCAATGGCGAAATTGCATGACGATGTCCCGTATGTGAATGACACTTTCGAGAGCTCCATTGAAGGAATGCAACCTACCCAGTTACGAAATTTCGCCACTGTGGATAGCTTGATGCCTGGTGATATGGTCTACATGAATAGCCCCTTTGTTGGTTATTCTGAAGGTGTCTGTGGACCTCACACCCGCGACCGAATTCCCTGTGATGACTCTAGCCAACCTTCATTCCAATGGATTAAAACTCGCTGGTGCTATATGGGTCAAGGGTCCACCGAAAGTCTCCAAGATGGTGTCTGTGGATCTGCGATTTGGGATAAGGATGGAAACGTGATTGGGTTCTTCCGTTTTGCACCGACGTCCGGTCACTTTTTAGACTGGTCTTTCTGTGTCGGAGCTGACCATGTCATTGAACGTGGCTTCAAGATTGCGAAATAGTCCGGTCACTGACTTCTTGTCTTGCTGTTCCCTTACTTTCGCCTTGCTAAGACCTCGGTGGATGCACCTACCTATGTGTACCTACTTATTGTATCTTAGCTCTTGCTGAATGCACCTACATATGTACCTGAATGTACCGGATTTTAGGCCACGGTCGCGAATTTCCCGATCAGGGTGCCGCCGCTTTTATGAGGGCGCTCAGGCTCCTGCTCACTGAGTATTTCACAGCACAGGTGATCACTGTGAGCACTGGGTATGCTTAGTAATGTGAAAAAAATATTGCTCAGTGAACGCTCAGGGTATGCTCAGTCAGCGCTTAGGGTATGCTCAGTCAGCGCTCAGTCAGCGCAGCGAGCGCTGCTTTTCGTGATTGCCTGAAAATAAAGGCCTAAAAAGACAAATCTTAAATCACGTGATAAGTGGATCATTCATCGGCCATCTATTCTGTGATGCTAGCGCCCAGCAACTAAAAGCCTTTAAGCATTGACCATCCTTTTTGTTGATTGCCTCCTGCATTAGGGAATGTATTCATCAATATGACCACCAGAAGATGATGACGTATGAAGATACATAGCTAATTCGGGTGCCCTATCCTGACTATGGCTAGGATGACTTTCACGAGGTATCTAACGTCTAGTCGAGCTATAAATACAGCGAAATCCCCCCGAAGACAATCTATTATTAGAACTTACTATCTCTTTTATCCCCTTTTTACTCCGTCCCAGCGTTTCTAGCGTCCCTTTTCAATCGTAGATCATGGGCTTGAAGCGCCAGACGCAAAGAAACTAGGTTCTAACCGGAAGCCTACCGAGAGGATGATGCCAAACGTGGTAAACATAAACGTACTGATGAGTCCAATGTACTTCATCTGTAGTACGTCGAGCTCTAGATCGAGTGAGTAGCCTTATAACGCTTTTCCCTAATTTACTTGTTTGTTAACTTTTTAGGTTTTTGATTGAAAGCGGAAGAGTATCCGATGGCTATAAGCTAGAAAAGGGAAGCCCGGCGCCCGAAATTACTTAAATTAAAGAATTTATTCGATAGTATACGTATTCTACTAAAGGGCGTCTCGACCTAGATAAAAGGCCTATAGTGACTACTACTTTAGTATACGCCGAGAGATTTTTCGGTAGCTTTAAGATAGCTACCGGAAATACGGTTACTAAGGAGGATTGTTTAGTATAAAGGATAAAGGTCCTTTTAAAGGTGAAAACAGGAACTTAGGCGATATATGTATTCATAGAAGTTTCTGATACGTGTGTGAATCGTGCGGGGTTCGTTACCTAATCGGTATCGAACCTTAGCACGTATATTTCCTTTTAATCTTAGGTTCCCCGGAACCCCCTAAATTCTAGTAAGAATTAGTCTTAGTATATATAGCCTAATATATCTTTATTTCCTCCTCCTAAGCTAACGTATCTTACCCGGTTAATAGGCCTTATACCTAAAAATAGTATATTCTTATAATTCTAATTCTTCCTCTTTAACTACCTAAGATATAATAGCTCCCCTAATTACCTATAGTAGCTCGTATAATAATACTAAGACGCTAGAGTATCTTATTTAAACCGATAGCGAATTAGAAATACTTCTATCTATAGAAGAATAAAAGGAAATATTTACTTAGGATCTATCTAAATAAATTACTAAAATAGCGGTAGAAAGTTCTTATATTACTAACGAAATCCTTTAAAGCCTAGAAGAAAAGATTATAGAATATAAAGCTAAAGTAGTATTATAAGAATATATTCTTATAACTTAAAAAATAATTATAGAAAATAAAGAGAAACTTTAAGATTTTAATTAAATAATAAAAAGATCTTAGAATTATTATAACTTATCTATAGAAAGTAAATCTTTTTAAAAAAGAGAGATTAAAAGAGATATTAACTAATTTAAATTAGATTTTAATATAAAATAGAGAGAGGATTAATTAAATAATCTTAAAATATTTTTTAAAAAAACTCTAAAAAAATATATCTTAAAAATCTAAAAAATCCTTATTATTATAAATTATTTATATATCTTTTATAAAAGAAAATAGATATTTTATAAATAAAAATATCTTAAAAAGATATTAGATTAAAATATATTTAAAAAATAGATAAAGATACTTTTAAAGAACTTTTATAATATTATTACTAATATTTTTATCTAATTTTAAAAAATTATAATAAAATCTTATTAAAATCTTTATAATTTTAAAAACTATTTTAAATCACTAGAGAATTATCTTCTAAATTAGAATAAAGAATAAAAAGCTTAGATCTTATTTATAAAATTATAGAAATCTTTTTAAGATATTATAATTATTATTAATAATAATATTTTATTTATAAATTAGGATAAAATATTAAAGCTAATATTTATATTTTATTATATCTATTTTATATATTAGAAGTTAAGAAAAGACTTTTTAAATTATTATTATTAAGATAAAAAAGATAAAGAAATTATACTAATTTAATATTAAATTACTTTTATATTAAAATCTTAACCTCTTAAAATAAAGAATAATCTTAAGATAAAAAATAATCTAAAGATTTTAGAATCTAAAACTAAAACTAAAGATATAAATTAAATAATTAAGATAATTTATAAAATTTTATAAATAATATATAATTTAAAAAAAAAATAATACTAAAAAGATATTAAAAAATATTTATTTTATTTATAAAGATAAAAACTATTAAGCTTAGGATTATTCTTAAAAAATCTTAATTTAATCTATTATCTAAGTATTAAAAATCTAAGATTCTAGATAATTAGGAAAAGTTAAAGAGTTAGAGTAAATCTTAATATATTAACTTAATATCTATTTATTAAGACTATAATATATCTTTATATATTAATTATTATATATAATAATATTAAAATATATATAGATTTAAATATTAATATAGAATATAATATAATTAGTAGAAAGTTCGCTAAAGAAAATAAATTATATATTATATCTTTTATATCTTTATTATTAAAAAGTATAATTCTAGAATAACTCTATACTTATAATATATATTAGATATCTTTTATAATTAGAGATTCTAAAGAAACTAAAAAGATAATAAATCGATCTTATATTAAGATTAAAAAAGATCCTAAATTAAAAAAAAGCCTTATACTTCTATCTAAAATATTTATAAATAAATTTAATATAATTTTATATCCTAGTATAAATAAATAATAGTTCGGGATAAAAAGTTTTAAATTCTAAAATCTTTATAAATTTATAAAATAATTAAGAAATACTACTATTATTTATATATTAATTAAAATACTAAAAAAGATCTAATTACTAAATAAAAATACTACTATATTAGATATAGATTAAATATAAATATCTTTTAAGTTAAAAGAGTTTTTTAATATATTTAATTATAAAAAAGTAGATACTCTACTAAGGACTAAAATATCCGATTATATAATTAAACTTAAAAAAAGAAAAACCCTTTTTTATAAGCCGATTTATCTATTATCTAAAACTAAATTTAAGAAATTATAAGCTTATTTAATTAATAATATTAAAAAAAGAAGAATTCGCTTATTAAAAAATTTTATAAGCGCCTCTATTATTTTTATTTTAAAGAAAGATAAAGGCTTATAGCTATATATAAATTATAAAGAGTTAAATTATATATTAATTAAGAATTAGTATCTTTTATTCTTTATTTTAAAGATTCTTAATTATTTTTTAGAAGTCTAATTTTTTAGTAAAATTAATATTAAAAATATTTACTATTAGATTTAATTTTAAAAAGATAATAAATAGAAGATAGTTTTTTAAATAAGATATAGCTATTTTAAATATATAATTATATTATTTAGATTATCTAATATATTTATTATCTTTTAAAGCTATATTTATATTATATTAATAAGGCTAATTAATATAATATATATAGTTTATTTAGATAATATCCTAGTATTTACTAAAAATTAAGAATCCTATATAAAAATCCTTCGATAAATCTTTAAAAGACTATAAAAAATAGAATTTTATATAAAATTATTAAAATATACTTTCTATTAAAAAGAGATTAAGTTCTTAAGATTTATTATAAATAAATTAAGAATAAAAATAAACTAAAATTATATTTATATAATCTAAAAATAAGAAGAATTAAAAAGCTATTATAATATCTAGATCTTTTTAGGATTTTATAATTTCTACTATTATTTTATAAAAAGATATTCTTAATTATCTTTATTTTTTATATTTATAATAAAAAAAAATAAAAATAATAAAAAGCTAAAATAAGTATAATTAAATATAATTAAATTATAAATATTTTAGTAGTTAAAACTTACTTTTTAATTAGTATCTTTATTATATTATTTTAATTTAGAGAAGTATATTATATTAAAAATAGATATTTTAAATTAAGATATAAAAAGCGTATTTTTATAGCTAGATTTAAAAGGCTAGTAATATCTAGTAGCTTTTTAATTAAAGAAATTTTTAGATTTAAAATTTAATTATATTATTTTAAATTAAGAGCTTTTTACTATTATTTACTTTTTTTAATATTAGTAGTACTATCTAAATAGTAGTAAGTATCTTATTAAAATATTATTAGATTATATTAATTTATATATATTTATAATCTAATAGAAGTTTAATAGCCGATAGATACGTTAATATATATTCTTAATACTTTTTAACTTTATTATAAAATATAAGCCTAGAAAAATAAATCTTATAAATAGGCTTTTTAAAATTCTAAATTCTAAATAAGTAATTATAAAAAAGAAATTAATTAGTCCGATTTAAAATTAAATTATAAATAAAAAGATCTTAGTTCTAAAAAAGACTAAAAGATTAAAGATTCTAATAATCTAAAGTATTATAAAGATCTAAGTTCTAAATATAGATTAAAAATATAAATCTTAAAGATATAACTTAATTAGATCGATAATAAAATATATCGATACTAATATAGATCTATAGTCTAAATAAAAAAAGCTATATAATAAATTAGATATTTTATTTAATCTAAAAG